TATGTATCACTTTAGTACTTGTACTCTATTCCTGAAGATGAAAACACTGTAAGGTAAGCTTGTTATTGCCCGAAATGGAATTTTGTAATTGGATTTTAATAAAATATGTTTATCCAGATACCACTGTACATTTTTCACATTCAGCCGTTATCTACTTTATATGCCATAACATGTCGATTTATGCATATCTCTCTCTCTTTCTCTCTCTCTCTCTCTCTCTCTCTCTCTCTCTCTCTCTCTCTCTGATTACATCACTTTTACAAGAAAGATGCAATGCCATGATGAGAAATGAATGAAATTATAATTGATAATCCCTTAACTTTAGTTTTAGAATAAATCATCGAGAGTTTGATGTTGCGTTAAATCTGATTTCTTGTAATTTGTTTTCGTATATTGCTTTCGCATCGGCTTCTTTATATTTTTCTTATTTTTATCTGTAGATTCCTAGTTTAATTTAAAATTTAAATTTATAACAAAAATGTTTGAAAACTCTTGAACCTACGAATTTTCGTGCAATAAATTTTAGCTCTGAAAATAGATCAAAATTTAAAATCTTTTTTATTTAATTTATAAAGTAAATTTTTTTAAAACTTTTTATTTTTATCTTAAATTACAGATATAATAAAAAATAATAAATAAAATGACGTCATGACGTATCAAATTTATATTAAGGAAACATTCAAATTTGTGGGTCCATTTAAAGGATCCAAAAATGAAAAACAATATAGAAAAATTGAAATTCAATTCACACGATTTGTTTAATCTATGTAGTTTTAAAGAGTGAATAACAAATATAATATCTGTAACTTACGACAAACGTGCGAAATTCCATGGCGTGTGAATTCACTGTAAATGTTGTGGAAGAAAGAAATTTCCGTTTTTGTGATTTAGTCTAGTAGACCGCGACTGTCAAGATGAGCTTCTCGAGACTATCTCGCGAGCCGATCGGGCCTGTCTACCAGTCAACGGTCATAGCAAAACTGAATTTCTCGTCATCCGCATTGCGCCGCTCAAGGGGCCACTTACCTTCACCTCGGCCGTGTACTTGACCGTCGTGCGGTAGAGGAACGTACGGAGGTATTAGTCTTTAGTATTCAGCCCGTTAAAGACCACAAATATAATACAGAGTACGGCCGAAATCGCGATACAGCTACAAACGGATATAACCCGTTGCAAAAAATAAAACAAAAGTGTACAATATATTTTTTTGTATGAGATTTCGTTTTGGGATCGAAGAAGTTGATCTTAAATCGTTGCATTCTGCATACAAAGAATCTTATTGTTAGTAAAAAAGCAATTATTCTTACGAGTTTCTATTTATGATTTATTAAAATGAAATAATCAACTCTCTTATCAAAGCACAAGATATTGTCAATAAAACAAAGGCTGTCATTAAATGTATAAGAATTTTATATAAGAGTAATCGTTATAAATTAATCACAAGTCGAACTTTTTTTACATTTATAATCGTGTGGACAATACGTGTTAATATGTTAATACATATTTGTGAGTCATGAAAAAATTTTTTAGTGTAAATGAACTAAATTGTGCTTCATTCTGATACGATTACAATTATGATTAATTACATTAAATCAAATGATGACAAATTTAACATAAATAACGATCAATAAGTCACATTCAACTCCGTCTCATCCTTGTGATAGATTATAATGTCTTTCAACATCATGTTTGAGTCATCGTAACGGAAATTGAGAACAGGCCTATCCAAGGGGAATCCGTATGGCTTGTTATCGAATTTATAGCCACCAAAAACGCGGGACATGTAAGGAATCGGTTCTCCTTCGACCGGATTGATGTATACGAATATCTGGAAGGGCATGCCCTCTTTCTTGCCTTTGGGCAAGAGCAGACGCTCGGGGAATCCGTAAATTCTTTCCGGATATGAGAAGGAATCGGAACCATTCAAGGAACCGTCCAAGGCCTTGAGCATCTTCTTGTATAGTATTTCACTCGGTTCCGGATCGGGTATGGCGAAGAAGCAATCTTGACTGTTTCGGACGATCTTGTTCGTACCGGCGTTCACTGCAACGCAACGTAGAGAATCGAATTAAAATCTTTTTTTTTTTTTTTTCATATGATCTGCATGTATGCTATACAGTCAAGTTTGATTGTATAGTGTAGAATTAAATTAAGATACTAACGATCGACTATCCAGTTGTCCATTTCATAAAAGTATTTTGCGTATTCAGCGAAATTAAACGGTTTGTGATGAATGTCATATTTTGGTCCGAGGAAAATGCGTATCGCGGCCTTCATAGATTTCTCAGCGTTGATGGCGAGATGGAAGCTGAACGGTTTGTGATTGAGACGATATTGACGAATTTTGATCAACGTGTTTTCAGCCTCTTTCGCATCATCGATTATCAAACCGTTGCTGATCGAAGTGTCGAATTGATCAAAATAAGTAATTAATTTATCCACGACAAAAGACTCGATCTTCAATTCGGGATAAACAATTTCATTCTTGTTGTATGGCTTCTGATGCATTTTGTACCTAAAAATGATATTCGTATTGTTGAAAGGAGATTGTCTGCATTTTAATTGCAAAGTATTTAAAACACTTGAGAATTTTTATTTTTAGATCTTTTTTTAGGAAATACCTGTCATAGTAGAACATTATTCTTTTGTAGATACGATAGAATGCAGGATCTCTCATGGACGTGCTGTAAAATTCGAGAGCACTAGGTATAATCTGATACGAGGTTGACGGCTCCAAGTTGTATCCAAAGATTTTTCTCGCAAACAGATCGATGTTGCCGTAAAAATCGGAATTGCAGGAATCCATATTGCCCTCAATAATATTACCAAGAATGTTAAGACCTTCGGGTGTGTAAATGTTGATCATTTTGCCAGTTGGGTCCAAAACAAATCCGGAGTCAATGGCCGCCGATACTCGAGATTCCATGTCTTCTATGTCCTAAAAGTGCGGCAATAAACTAATTAATATTCACTCGTAGATCGCTGCTCACCGCACTCGTATTGTATGATAAAAGCGAAAAATAAAATAAACGATCTCAACAAGCATTTTCTCTGTCTACGCGCGCGCTATGATACATGGTATTAAAAATACAAATCTTACGCGATCAAACTTCTTCTTTTATTGTTAGTAGTAAGACTAAAGCTAAACCGCACCTTTATGTATTTGTACTTGTAGTAGGGAAATTTGCTCCAGTATGGTCTCTGAGGCATCGGTAATCCGTTGTGATAGGTCATTGTTGGATAATATCCAATATAGAACTCATTGTGCCAATCGAAATCTTCAATTTTACCAATGTCGTTGGACAGCCGTTCCAAGTAATAACGAGACAACAACTGCTTATGATTGTAAAGGTAATCTACGCCGCGATTCTGTTGCATGCTGAATTCATCGCTCTTTAACCAGAATGGATAGTCTTTCCGCATATAGAAATAGTAAGCGTTCAGGCCAATGTCCTCGGTAAAGTAATTAATTTTGTGCTCCAAATCGTACTCGCGCGATATGTACCATCCGGAATAATTTGCCGGAATGATGTAGGTATCATAGCCACCGACTTTCTTCGAGTCTATATTGTTACAAATGTTAATGTCAAAATTATTTATATATAAAAATTTAGTTATTAAATAAATCTATAAAATTATTTCTTCAAAATAGTATTTCTAATAATTATACTTTAATATAGAAGATAAAATAAAAACAAGGAAAATTATTATTGGCTGAATTGAAATACATAAACATGATCATTATTACTTAAAATTTAATAAAATTTACATTGTTAATGATATCTACAATTAAAGAAAAATATCGACTTTCTGAAAATTGCATGCGTTAACTTTTACTTTGTGAACGAATTTCGAATTTTCAGACTGTAATAAACATGAACAAATTTGATTGAGACTTACCAAGTTTTCCGAAGAGTTTTGCATGGTGTGCTTTTTCGAGTACTTCGGAATTGAAAAATCCATATGGGTACATCTCGTAAGGAGGCGGTAACTGAATGAATTTAGTGTCGTCACGGAATATAACTGCGGTGTACAGGGCTTCAGCAAACTGCATCTCGTTTATATAAATACGCGCCCATAATGCCGTTTTGTAGAAGATGTCAAAGTCCTTGGCATAATAGAATAGACGAAATAGCGCCTCCGTTTCCTTCCGGAGTTTTGGATAGTACATGGAATTGAGCTCGCCACGAGGAAGCATGCCATACTTGTATAGATAGAGAAAGTTCTTCACCACAGCCTGCAAAACGATACAAAAGGAGCCAGATGAATATTTTGTACAAGGGGGTGTAGGATAATCCTATTTATTGATAGGATAATCATTAATGCGAGATCCGATATGATGATTCCGTATTATTTACCGTATTAGTATACGATTCTATGTTGGCTTCAATGTTGTACGAGCGACCTTCCTCGTATAATGAAGGATTTACAAGGGAGGGTTGCGAGATATAGTACAGAAGATTATAAATCTTCTTCTGTTTCAGGAGAAAATCTTTGTCGGCAGTCTTGATGGTATTATAGTCAGCTGCTGCTAGACTGAAGCTGACGGCCGCGACGACGGCTAATACCGTCAGGAACTTCATTTTCCAAACTTTTCCAATACCCACCGCAGGCGAGATCAATTCTGAACAGCGCTCGACGCCGCGTCTGCAGCACTTTTATACACCTACGTCGAGCGCGCAATCAAATCGATGGGTCATAAGGGCACTGAACACTGGAATCTGGTTTGAATTCGTTATCGGATCGGCGAATTCCTCGCTCTCACATATTTCATTCGCCGATAATGAATGCTAGGTATTTATTCCTATTGATTTTATTATATAAAATAGATTAATTGAATATATAGAATTAGTTGCAGCTAATATATTAGATATATTTTACCGCAATTGCTTACTTTATTTCAATTAATCTTTTACAAATTGATACACGTCCATTTATTTCTGATTATTTTCTGTCGTCCCGATAGCTTGAACACTGTATCTGATACAATAATTCTACTTGATTCTTCTATGTGTGTATATGAGACTACTTATTATCATGCCTCGTGTTGCGGCAACAGATAAACACCGTTGTTAAAACGTATCATTAATCGGGCTAAAAGATTCGTTCTCGTGCAAGAGGTCATCACGCGGGATATGACTTCGAACACACCTAATCGATCGACATTAAAGTACTTTTGCGCAAATTCTATACAGTCGTATTTACAACGACAAATGCAAGTAAAAATGCTTAAATTGTCCCCTTAAAGTATGTCGTGAGATTAATTATAACTGCATAAGTATAAATAACGTGTTTTTATCACGCATGACTTTTGACTCGAATCCAAATTATAAAAGAATCTTATCTTGTGTATATTATTGCAATTTATTTGAGTTTTATGATCAGTGTTTACATTTTGTGTAATACAATTTTATAGATCAAATAGAATTTTTTTTTTTTTAATATTGTTTCCTAAAAATCTGTTATTTCGAACTTGACGTGAGACATAATACAATTTATTAATAAAAAATTGCTTACAATTAGTAATTTTTGAATTCAACATTTAGAAATGATTTTCTTTTTTATTTATGAGATTAAATTATTTTATAAATTTATCTTCCATTATGCATATGTATAGGTATATATATATATATATATATATATATAAAATGAAAAGATAAATATTTATAAAATAATTTTATATATATATATATATATATATATATATGTATATATATATGTATATACATGAATTACTATATGGAAATATTTTTACCAGCCTGCAGCTAATTATACCACATCGTGACATTATATAGTTAACGTTATAGTTGATCGCCGGTTAATATATTTAATAAAAATGAAAAAAATCAAGTCAAATTATCAACTATATCTTATTTATTTATTCATAGATTAATTACGCCAAGTGTATTACAAGAAAATTTTTTGGAAAATAAATAAGAAATTCCTTGCATTTAGTACAACCATACACGGAGAGAATTTTCTTTTAAAATTTACCTTGAAAATCATGTTAATTGTGAGACAATATATATAGTATTTAGGTAAATTTTACTGTGCACTACAATAAATTTTACTACG